TTAGCATAGTTTGCACAAAATATTGGGTTAGTATTTGAACCAGCCCCTATATATATATATATATATATATATATATATATATATATATATATGACACATTGTTTATTAGGAAACTTTTTATGGGTAATTAAATATTGCAAATGGGTTTTGTTGTACTTTTTATGTTCATAACAAAGTTATGTGTCATCGTATATGTATTTTGAAATTATAATGAGAACAAATTTTATTTGGTAGAGTTGGTATATAAAGCTTTTATTCCACTAGACCCAAGTTCGAATCATGTTAGTATCATTTTCTTAATCAAATGATGTTACCGTTTGAAACTTTTTTCCTATGTTTTTTTTTTCTCATAGCCAAATGATACCACCATTTGACAAAAAAAAATATTCTTAATTTTTTTCCAGCTAGAGACGGGGATGAGATGTGATCATATTCTTTTATGAAGACGGGGACAGAGATGGAAGATCGATGACAGTGACACGACGAGGGATGGCGAGGGGATTGAAATATTCTTAATTTTTTTCTTTTTCATAATTTGCTTAAAAAAATAATATCAACAACTTCTTTTAAAAAATTGTAATTGTTACATTTTTAATGAACTAATGATAGTTTTTTTAGGCCTAAGAGTAGAGTAAGTAATTAATTTCTTCATCTCATAATTAAGGATATAATGAGAAACCCGACATTTATTTTACACTTATTTTTCAAAAGTGAACACTTATTTTAGGACAAACTAAAAATAGAAATATGAGCACTTATTTTGGTACGGATGGTGTAATTTTTATGTTCTTTTGAAAATGAAACATCAAAAATCTCAAATATTTTATCGTTTATTTGGTTGATTGAGGTTATCTATATACTATATTATAAAACATTTGACAAAAACTTTTAAAAACCATTTTTATGCATAAAGTACTATTTATTGATTCATATTACTTAAAATTCAAGATTACAGGTAAATTGTGCGTAAGTATAATTTATTAAAGCTCTATTTTTGAATTAGTGTAACAAACTATGGATAAACATAATCAAATAAAGAATAAATATCTCATTTTAAAATATAAAAAATCTAAAATATAATTAGAATAATTATTTAGTTCTAACAAAATAATTAATTATTATCTTTATAAGAAAATTATATTATTAAACCAAATATAAATTATTTCGTTATTGAACCTAAATTAAATTATAATAAAAAAATTGAATTAAAATATTACACAAAAAATGAAAAAAATTAAATAATTAATTTGATAATAATATCGATATATTTCTGTCAAATTCTTATGATATCTTCGAATTTATATCTTATTCAAAAATAAAAACAGTATCGTTTTTTTCAAAATCACATAAGACTATATTATAACATCAACCGAGATAAAAAATAAAACGAAACATTAAAATCAATATGTATCTCGTTGTATTGCACGAATACCCTTCTAGTATTTAATAAAGGTGATACAAGTTTCCAAAAAGCCTGTTTTTATAAATTATATGCTTAAAAGAATTTATAATTTTTAAAACAAAAACGTAAAAACTTTATATAGATTATTTTATCGCATTATTTTGACGCAAATTAACAAACACAACCAAGTCAACAAGACCAAGGAATATCTAAAAATAATTCAATAATTTTCTTATTATAATTTTTTTTTTATGTTTGCGTACAAAACTATTTGGCGGGAGTTTAAATATAGATCAACCACATATTTGGTTTCGTGTTATGTAAATTATCGTATATTTAGTTATTTACCATATCAAAAATTATAGATTTATATCTGGGTGTCTGGATCAGTTTGTGCGTAATTCAATTAATCTCAGGGATCTGGATAATAATGAGAAAAGTCCCTTGCAGGATTCGTACCGGTAACCTATGAAGAGAAACCTTAAATACCCGAATCTTATCATCAGTTGAGCTAATCCCACAAGGTTTATTATATTATTTATTACATTTTTAGTTATTATAATTTGTTCATTACATTTCGGTTACTGTGTTTGGTCATTGTGTCAGACATCCTTAACTTTTGAACGCTAAAAAGACTTGTATATGTGTAGTAATATCTTCGTAAGGTTCTTTTCGATCATAACATGGATCAAGACAATTTTCTTTTGAAATTACTTATTTTTCGAGATCTACATGCTAGCAAAATTTGGTGATTTATTGAGCAAAAATCAAGAAGTTAATATGTTGTCTGGGTACCACTCGTGTATGCATGTTAACGTGTTCATGAGGTCATAACTTTGTACTCCCAGTTAAGATAAAACTGGGTTTTTTTTTTAAAGTTGCTTACATTTTCAAGATCTATATGATGAATTTTTTCTAGTGATTTATCGAGTAAGCATCAAGAAGTTATCATGTTTTTATATGTTGTTTAAAGGCAACATAACATAAACGAAATATAACAGTACTGATTAAAACATACAGGGAAAATCTCCCTATTGCATAAAACTGTGAGATGTAGTAAAAAAAGGATACCATTGAAGACCAACAGAAGATAGTCAAGCTACTACCACAAGTATCGAACAAGACAAGTTGTATAGGTAGCACCTAAAGCTGAAAAGCATACCCGAAGCAAAAGCTACACCCATTAAAAAGGGTTACATAGAAAGCGACAAAACACTTGGTTTTACAAAATGTATGAGTGCCTTTTGCATTCTTCTCGATACCCATTTAAAAACTCGAACCTGTATCTTAGAAAAAAGAATCACTATAGATAACGATCTTTTACTTTTGAGAACTGTTGTTACGTTGACTCCAAGTCAAATAGCTCGTGGCCCAAACAGGTGTCTTGTCATATCTTCAACCAGTACACGAAAGAAATGTCCTCTCGAAACTATAAGATCTCCTTCGTCATGTTACCTGTATCAATATCGAACCCCCACCAAGCATGCACGCTTCGTACTAAAGAAACACAATAACTTATTTGATAAATCACAAAATTTTCTGGCACGTATAGCTAAAAAGACTATCAATTTGAAAAGAACATCTTGATCATAATTACAAGTAAAAAGTCAACCTCACAAATCACAAATTCTTTTCTTGAACTAAACAAAATTATAATTTCAAAAAAGCATAATCTCGATCCAAGTTAAAGTGCGAGTAAAAAAAGTCGTTAACATCACCAAAAATATTACTACAAACATACACAAACTATACTAGAAAAGAACACAATAACCCCATAATTATTGCTGTGAAGGTAAAAAAAACTAAACCTTCAAAGCAAAAACACTGTGATGATTACCTTCACAGTATTTTGCTGTAAAGTTTCAAATATAAAAAAATGATCTTACGGATCTCATAAAAACAAACTGGTCTCACGTGATCTCAAGTCTTTGTATATTAATCTCAAAGAAGATACAAATTAGCAACTAAAAAAATATCATTACATGCATACACAAGTTTCCACTTTAAGACGAAGTGGTAGTGGCACACAGAAACATAGGTTTGTGGGCAGTTGGTTTCTTGTCTCTTATCATGCTGCACTTTTTGCCTCTATACATGCAACATAACATACAAACACCATTCTTTGTTCAACACTTTCGCTACCTTTTCATTTTTCAACAATATAAATTACTTAATTCTCCATAAATAAATAAATAAAAACCAAACCTATTATTACCAAGCGACGAAGCGGGTGCAGAGACTACATACTCGCCTTTCAAAACCAACGACTGCTACAATAATACCAAAGAATCAAAAATTACATTTTCGTACTTGTTACCACCACCACCGACACCTACATACAACTAACTATTTTACATTACAAACCAACAAACAACAAAATCCCACCTTCACACACCTCTCACTGTTAGTTGTTAGATTGATTGATTCATTCATTACCTCTTTCTTTCCCCATTCTGAGGATATATAATAAATTCCTTTCTTCTTCTGTAGTTTGTTGCAAAATGATTTAGAAACTTGTCGTCTCTGGCTGTTCTGGAAAACCCACATTCACATCATCGATAACTTTGGGTTAACCTTCATGGATCAGTAGATCCTTGGCAATCAAGGCAATACGTTGTTTGGCACTATCAGATCGTAAGGCATCTACTTTGAATCCCATCTGTTCATCCAATTCACAAACAACTAACTGTAAGCTCTTTGGATTCCACCATCAAACAACCATGGATCTTAAATGTATTTATATCTCAATGGATGATTGACCTCACTCTGACTGTCTGGGGTGAACCACCGTAATAGAACTCCAAGATGCACCACAGCTGGTATTATCTTGAAGAGTAATGGAGTCGTCACCTACAAAGTCGATTCTTTTCTTAGTTCATCCATCTTCATCATTAGTTCAAATTACCTACTTTTTCTTTTTTATCACTTTAGATTGGAATATGTTATAATAAATGCCACTATAAGTTATTGGTTTCTTTCCATCTTTGCACTAGACAAGGAAAATAAGAGTTGATCCAAGAAATACATCATTAATCATGTGACTAGACTTGTTTCCATACCAGACTAAGAGCGGTTGTTCCAAGCAGCAGCATGTACAGCTTCCCCTAAAACGCATCACAAGGTTAAGGGTTAATATATGAGCATCATAAAAATACGTGTGTGTGTGCGCGTATACCAATAAACTACACAGAAATTGTCCTCGATGAAACATCCAACACATATGAGAGTAAATTTTATCCCATTTATTGCCTTTTGTACACATCTTTTGTCCCTCACGCAGATAAGTTGGTACAAGACCAGAGAAGAATTGTAGGGAAAGAGATGTTAAATAGCAACCTCAACGAGATGAAGATTAGAAGCACGGCTGAGAAGGACAAAAGCAAACTCTCCTATTTGTGCTAAAGACATCCCAACCTGCATTACAAGAATCCTTGTTATTGATAATTATACATGGAAAGCAGAAAGTCTCTACGGTTATAAAAAATAAGTCGGATTCTCTTTTCATCCGTTTCAAGAAAGAGCCGTATTATATTACTACAATAACGGCACCATGGTACCAGAGGGCAGAGGCTCTCAACCATGATACTGAGAGTATAGAGTGTTCAAATTTTTATAATTTCAGAAAGTAGAATTGTATGTTAGAATGGCTGGAATAAAAGTCTTCTGAGATTGGTAAATCTTACAAGAACTGAAGTCTTGTTGTTGTAGCCAAAACCCTTGACAACAATGGAGATTACAATTGTCTTGGCAATAACCACTAGCAAAACTGATGCCAGCAAAATATCAATGTGGTTCCACAGGAAATGAACATGAATCAGCATGCCGATGCTAGCAAGAAAGAGAGCAGCAAAGAAATTCCGTATGGGTTCAACCTGCACAAATAGAAGCCTCAATACGAGTATCTTTCTGCAGATAACATCCTGCTACAATCATACAAATTCAATGACTGAAGTTCATGTTTTTATCAATGTAGAGTTTAACAAACACAATACATTTTCTAAAATGATGAAGTTGCTCTTCTAATCTATTGCTGTCTTTGTCTATATTTGTAAATCTATTGATAGCCTTGGAGTGCGGAAGATTCTAAAGCAGGATCTTAGTGAAAGTGATTGCTATCATATAGCATAATCGGAGGAAGAGGAAAAACCGCCATTAGGAATGACTTCATTTGCTGACAATTGGTTGGCCTAGTATAGAAAGTTGGAAAGCTAGCAAGGAAATGTCTCTCTTCCATCATTTTCTTGAGGCACCAGCTAGGCCATGGTGTCATACCTATAGAAAATACAGAACCCCAAAAGCAAATAGGAGAGATGCCTCGCTTTTATAAATAATTTTACATTAAAAAGGAAAAAATATGGTGCTGCAAGCCTCATAACTACCATGTCATGCCATGCTTATGTAGAGCACAAATACCAGAAGACAATCCTCTATTATAACTTTGTAAGTGCAATGTCTGTACATAATGTTGAAATTTTAGAAAGTAATGCCTACACCATGGTGCTATGAAAAACCTATCAACACTATTCTAGATTTCGCAATAACGACCCCTTCAAAGTCAAGTTAATATATGTCAATAAGTAGTGCATTTATTATAATTGGATATGCTAACAATTTCCATTTGGATAACTGATCTACATTTCGAAGCTTCATTAGTTCATCCGTCGGTTCCACTTATTGCTTGTGGCCTTGTTTATATTACCCTGAGCTCAGATGTCTAGTGATTGCGTTGCTTCTTAAGTTGAACTGAAATTAATTATTTATGGTTCCTCAATAACCTTGACATGGCTTGATAATATTTCAATAAAACAATCCAAATGGGACAAGTAGAGAAACATTTCGAGGGTGCTTGATTGAGGGTATTAGGGGGTGGGGAATGGGAATGATAATGAAAAAAGGTTGTTGGTATTACATTATACAATGGGTCCATTACCCAAAACTCTATAATCCTCATCCCTGATTAAATTGGAGATTTGGAGGGAATGAAAAATCATGCCCATTCCTATTTCCATCCTTAAAATGAACCAAGTTCCCCCTTCATTGTTATGTTGGTTAGTACATTGCCAGCAAGCATCATTGCAAACTCGGATGAACCGTGTTCTCCTTTCCACATCTGTCAACAGACTGACCACAATGTCAATCTAAGCCCAAACCACAACTGCTATTTCCCTTTTGGGAGGGCTTTTGGTAGCAGGCTCAACATTCTTTAGGCGGACCGGAAGCACAGAACCATAGACAAAAGGTTCCCCAAGTAGTAAACAAAGTATTCTCTTCATCTTCTACCAGCATCCAAAGTTGTTTCTATTTGGCTATACCATCAACATATGAACATATTTTATGAAAGACTACAGGTCTATAGCACTGCTAAATCTATGTTGGGTAGCGCGAAATCATCCTTTGGGCAAGATTTGTTGAACTTCTGAACTCTACACAAATATCTCATCCCATCTGACTTGGATGTCCTGATAACTATTTGCTAGCCAATTCAAGTATTTGACCTACCTAATTTGAGATTTTGCTCTCCATCTTGTGTTAGAATGCGGTGTTCTAATATGGAAAGTTCGTCATTGGCACGTCTTGACCATGCAAAAACATCTAGATCAAGTCAGGTAAGCCTAGTACATTCATCACCTTGTCAAAAACTCTTGTATCTCTTTGGCGTCATCTACTGTACCTTGATTAAGGGTTGCCAACTCTTCTACAACTCCCAACTTTCTGCCTCCATATAATCAGTCATACTTGTTCATGAGCTCCATTAAGCATCCCTTTGTTTGTTCGTCCTTTTGATTAATAGTTCATGATCAACATTATTCTTTATCATGTCATAAGTATCAATTAATTCATCATCTAATGTTGTGGAAACTAAGGAGTAGTCTGAAACAGTAGATGGCAAGGATACAAATTCTGCCACCACATTTAACTCATCAGGAGTCAGGAGGGAAGTCTGCAACAGTGCAAGGATACAGGTTAAAGACTACAGAAAAACATGATCAAGCAGAATAGGAAAAGCCAAAGCAACTGGCTGTGAAAGGCTAGACTGTGGAGGGGATAGTGTACCAATTCCAGAGAGAGGAGAACACTATCTCTGCAGCGGCAGAACATTAGACGTGGTTCCGTACAGTCACTTCTTTAGTATCGTCATTGAGGATGTTGCTAACATTTAAATGCTGCAAGAATGCAAGAACTTCATTCATGGAAGAGTAAACAGTAGATTTTGAGTTTGAAAGGCAGTCTGGTCCAGAGAGGTATGGATATCGTCCTCAAGTTTTTTAGAGCCGCTTCACGCCATACGGAAGCCTTTAAAGGATCTTGCAGGGCATTGTGGTACAGGATTGGGCAGAACCAAAGTCTTCCAGGGCTTCCTAAGCTAGGGGGAGGGTAGTTGATCCAGAACTGGTAGGCCCACTCCTGGGCTTGTCATACAGGGTTGTGGCAGTGATGCTTGGTCCAAAAAGTTATATGCATCTTAAACTTCTCGTCCTCGAGAAGCGCTAGCAAGGTCTTTTGCCCGTATAACCATTCAAGGAATTCTCATCAGTTGCCCCACTGTGGGAGCTCACAACTGTGTCAGGGAATCTCAACCAAGTGTAACATTTCTTACTTGTGATCAGTCATATATGCTTCCTTGGCCGTGTGGAACATGGATTAGCATTATGTCATTGATACAAGTGATTCCCCATCCAGGATTGGAAGAATGCACACCAATTCTCAAGGATCAGAGCAAAATGCACCTCCAGGAATCACAACACGAATTATAGAAGCAGCCAGCAGCAGTTAATGCAAGTACATGATGACAAGGGTAATATCAATGTAACCACTACAAACTCTGAATGTCTTGAGCTCTTGGTAATTCTAAAATTGGGAACATTATGATAGTCACTGTGGATGTCGCATATATTCAAATACAATTGAATCACGACACTCTTGTCGTAATCACCTTGCGCAGTTAAACTATTTAATGTGTCTTATTTATTCAGATAAATATTTGCGTAGATGAATACATACATGGGACATAATTTACATGCATGATCACATAGAAACTCAAATATGTGAGAGAAATTATCTGAGACACAAATTTCATTTCAAACCAAACCAAACAAATCCATTGTATCTCACTCAAAGTAAGGTTGGGGGATGAGATGTAAAGCAGGCCCGCCCTCTACCACAAAGGGTAGGAGTGGCTGTTTCCGTGAAGACCCCTGGCCACAAATTTCATTTGATTGCTTCAAATCAATTTAAATGCAAGAAACCTGTCAAATCTGATGGCAAAAAAAAGATGCAAGCTTACTTGTTCAAGTGTATGTTGCGCAAGATCAGTCGTTGATATCATAACTCCAGCAGCAAACGAACCCAATTCTAAACTTAGACCGAGCTTATCGCTAGACTGAAATTACACAGACAATAGGATTAAGTACAGCAGGAAATGCAATCCCAAAACATTTCCAGATATGACTAGTCAAATCAAGCAACTGAAGAATAATGTCAAACAAAATCTGAGCTGAATTAATAGAAAAGGACACTCCGATGAAAAAGATATAAATTTTAGATTATCTGCAACTTCAATTCAACCTATCAAACTAAGCTTTCCCTTCTAATTCAGGAAGGTACAACCTATATTACGATATCTGGACTACTACTTAGACCACTACATAGATAGAAGTCTACGTCCACTTTAGAAGAATTGTGAAAGAAAATGATGACTATCAGACATGTTTTAAGTCTTGCAGAAAGAAAAATGCAGGACAAAAATATGGTAGAGCAGTAGCAGCTAAGTTATTTGGTACTTCATAACTTCAAGCTAAAACACTAACAAGGTATGCCCAGCATCTGAGAATGAGAATAGGAGTTAGCTCTTTAGCCATGTTAATATGTTTTGTGCACTTATTATACTCTCCTACATAAGAATTCCCCTCTTTTTAATGTTGATTCTCACGGCATTGAGAGGAAAAGTGAATCAACTTGAAAATGGTTTAGAATCAGGATCATCACATATATAATCTGAGCTAGAAAGAAACATAAGGTTGTGACCCTGACAACTAGAGATTGTGACTTCAATAAGATCAAGTATCAGGAAGAAACACAAACCCAGGCTACCAGCAGGCAAAATGCAACAGATGCCAACTGATACAGTTCATTGGTCTGCAGAGAAGATTAAGAAAGGATGAATACATGACATATATAATGAGCATCACAGCATGCACTAGAAAAGGATCATTCATCTAAAAATACGTCACTTAAAACATGGAAAGCATTTAATAATTTCACACCTGCGAGGAGAGGCTTATCATCAGTTTCAGAAACCAAGGCAAGCAAGTCCGGGATAATACTGATAAAACTGCCAAAAATGCAACCAACGCCACCAGCCTGACTAACAAGAGTCAGTATGATGAAATCAACAAAAATCTTCAATATTTTAGATAAATCAACAATAAATACATGATGACCCAAATTGGCATAGTTAACCAGACATTTTCACAGGAAAACAAATGTTACCACACCCTCACAACATAAAGGAAGGATTCACCTCTCTTGCTATCTTTGTATAAAATAAGAGACTAATATCAAGTGGCATAGCCAACAGGTACTTGTAGCCTTGTCATCTCAACCCAAGATTACCAACTAACTCCATCCACCCAGGCTGGAGCTAACACCAATTCATGATTTTGGCTTTAAATATATTCTGCACTTCCTCTATGGCCAGCATGGAAATTACATATTGCGTTTAAAAGCATTGATAAAAAAGAGCGCTTTCCCAAACCAACGAATAAGATTGAACATCCTATACAATGAAGTAAATTAATATACAGAAAAGGAAGTTAACAACTCAAAATCTAAAAAACTTACGATTTAGTCATGGATATTAGTCCTTGTAAAACACCTGAAGTTCCACCAAGGACCGGAAGAAGAGCAAACAATAAACCCACCGCACAATCCTGTAAAAGAGAACTAGCTAAATTCAAAACTTAACCTTTCTCACAACAAAAGAATCATGAGTTAACTAGAGATCGAAATATGACCAAGAGCATAATACATCCATATACATCGTGGTCGTTAATGTCACATAGGAATCACAATGTATAATAGGATGACTCACAAGTCGGCAAGTCCATTGAAGCAAAATCTAAATCTTACATGACCTCCAGGAAAAAAACAACTATAAGAAAGTAATAAATTAAGGATAAAATGTTAAGCACCTGTAAGATAAGGGTTCCAATAGTAACTTGTCCATGAAGGGCATTAACACTATTCTTTTCCATCAAAAATTTCAGGACCTGCACAATAGCGTTATGCAAACAGCCATTAACATTTAATTAGCTATAATGAAACTAGACAGCTCGTTCAAAAAATTCGCCTGTTCTTACCACTGCTGTAGATGACATTGAGAGAAGCACCCCAACAAAAACCCCCTCAGAAGGTTTACCACCACATAACTGTAAATGTCATCCAATTCCAAACATCAGAGAGCTAAATTGAAGAAAGAAGATATTCTACAAGAAATAACCTAAATATACAGACACATAAAATGCCAACCTAGCTCCTAAATGCCTTGAATACGCGCAATATATGCTACTTGTATTCTACATGAAGAAATAGTAGTGCAAATGTAGGATAAAAGGATGAAAGTACATACTTATCTGGGAATCCTACATTTCATCCAATCAAAAGGCATAGATCATAATGTTAATATTTTTTGACTTCCCGATAAATGAAATAAGAAAATTGTAGGTGCCTTAATAATATTTCTACTTTATTCCTGAATCCCACAACGTTAACAACATCAGATTTACAACACAATCAATAATTCTTTCCCCTAGTTTCTAAATTTTGATTATTTCTTCTGTTTTCTAAACACCAAGACTAGTCAACATCATGGTTTTGCTTTCTCTTTGTCTTCTGCTGGTCTGCAGGAGGGTGTCAGACTCACTGTTGTACCTTTATGTAGGAAAAGGATAGACCTATACCATCTTGGTCTTGATTTCTATATGAACTATTTGCTTACCAATGAGTTGAACCTGTATTCTTTAGTCACTGTTTCCAATATCTTGCCTCGTGATGTTATTACAATTTGGTATTTAATTGATAACTACTAATACGAAAACTTGTGTAAGTAATCTAGAACTCTTTACAGTCAAAAGATGTTAATGGAATCAAAAGGTTCAATCATCAACTTACGGAGGCCGTAATGCCACACATGCACATAAATAGGAAACTCTGTAGCAGTCCTCCCAGAACAGCAACAGCTCTAACAACTTTAAGCTAGAATTATCAAAGGCGTACTTTGAGTTAGTCACTTGTATTGACAACAATTTATCAATGTCACATTAATAAAGTTCCAAGGCATGATATAACATTAATTAAGAATCTAACCTTTGCCATGGAGAACTCCAACCCCAAAGCAAAAAGAAGAAAAATTACACCAAATTGTGCTACTGTCTCTACCTGCATTTGAACAAACAAGTTTTGACCATCTTCTAACAAATCATCAAGGCCTCATTGTAAGGGTAGCTCTAAACTTTAGAACAAACAGATAGCAATGGAAATAATAGGAACCTCGACAGATTAGATCAGTAACACAACTATAATATTATTTATCATGTTGGAATAGACCATTTTATTCCCTGTTGCTCAAAGAGCTTTGGTTCCTAGTCTATATATAGTCAACTAAGATTCTGGAGCCTACAAATAGGTCCCGCCTCCCACTCAAGCCCTACAATGGTAAAGTAAAGAATCATAGGTTATAGTGTCAGGTGCTAACGTACTTGAACCAATTCACTGACCACATCCAACCCACCAGGCCCAACAAGAGATCCTGCCAGCAAATATCCAGTAATGACCTGTTAAAACATAATGAGCCACATAGTGAGTCATGTAAAAATGCAGAAATACGCAATAGAACATTAAGATTAAAAGGAGAAACACAAACAAAGATTGAAAGAGTGTCCATACGGGCTGTCCTGCACAAGCGAAGGCAATGCCTCCACAAGTGGCAGATACAATGACAACTACAAGATCGGAGATTAACCTGTAAATTCAACATGTATAAATTGTTTGAATGATATATCAATGATGCCTTCGTAACAGAACATTGATAAAATTTACCTCAAGTCTAACTGTAGCACCGGATATTTTGATTTGAAGTTGGATATTATAAAGACATTATCCTGAACAAAGTTCAACCATAATATTAATTACATGATGCAGATAAATTATATAACAGTTCAAATTTCAATTTTACCTTTCTGTCGATTAATGTTGGTGTCTCTTCTGCTCCGTTGTCATTGTCCATATTGAAAACATGATGAAGTTGAAAAGACCTATAAGATTTGTCTTAATATGAGCAGTATTCTAGTATATAACTTCGGCAAAAAAGAGTACTATGAAAGAGATATGAGTTAATATAGACATCGTAAAATTCACCAATAAACTGATAAGAGTTCATACTTATCGTCCTTTGTGTCATTTTTCTTGGACTTAACTCTAGCTACAGTTTCCAATACAGCCTGTTGAAAAGACATGTCAATAAAATCTAATCAGCAAGCAAAGAAACATGCTTTAAATAAACACAAGAAAAAAGGAAACCTAATTTCTGAACTAAAACAAAATAAATTAGAGGAACCTGGGTGTAGTTAATTTTTATTGAGCATATAAGAATACAACTCAAACCAATATTCTGAAGGGGAAAGAGCATGAATAGTAATAGATTTGCTTGAATTTTGTGCACTACTATTTGCTAGCCAGGGTTACAAACAGAAAGAGAAGCATAGGTAGTTGGGGACGTTTATTACCACCAAATAAACTCAGGAAATTGATAAACTCCAATTGGAAAATAACCTTTTTATTTCTACCTAAATTGGAAGGTTAATTCCAAGTTACCTTGTGTAAAAACATGTTCTTCATTTATGATGATATATTGTGAGGAATACTATCAAGGTGCATTCATCCGTCAGAGACTATATAAAACCTGATAACACTAACCTGTTGCCCAGCAACACTGTTATTGAAGCTGCCCGCATCATTTTCTGCAAATTATATGCATGCGCAAAAAGTAAAAATAAGAAACACGTATCAAAGCTTCAAACTTTCTGTGTCTATATTGTTAAGTGTAAAACAGTGATTAGTCTACATCCAGATTTGATTTCCATGCAGTTTCTTATAGTCTAAAATCTGTAACTTGAAACCTTGAGCATGTAGATCTATAGAAGCAATTTCCGCGTTAATAACAATAATAATATATTTTTCACTTATATCCATCTATTACCAGTGTACATACAAAACTATTTGATTTAGAAACACAATGTACAGAGAAGAGGGTAAATCAAATACCAAGTATCACTTTCATCAACAATAATACAAAGAGTGACAGAAGCCAAAAAAAAATGTTCATAAAAAATGATATAGTCGCTCCTTTGCCTCCAATAACAAGTGTAAAAAACTCAAACATGCAGACCGATTCAAATCAAGCTAGTGAAGTCAGGATGAACCTACAACTCTACTCCATATATTAGAATACATGGCGATTAATTGTTGGTTCTTCCATATAAAATGATTCTACCTTCAGACCATGTAAGGCCATTTGCAATGATCATATACTGAAGATCTTTATTCTTAACAGGAAATGTAAACTACTTTGTAGAGGAGAGCAATACTATGCAGCAGTTTCAAATACCTATAACAGAACACCATAATGTAGGGACACAATAGTGTAACTTTTTGTCGGGCATTGCATTAGATATCTGCCACAATGCATACCTCCCTCCCAACTATGCCATTGTAAAGCTGAAGCTAATCTTTAACTTAACAAAACTCTAGCAATCTTCCTCCTAAACACGTCATCTAATTCTCCCTCTCCAATTTTTCCCCATTCATGATAAAATGAAGCAAGTGCAATAAACAAACACTACTAAAAGCATGGCGGGTTCAAGTTTGCCATAATCTGGTCACCTATTCCTGTCTTTCTCTAAGATGAAAACTACATTGTATACAGTAAACCTCAGTAAAACGCACAATGTTCATAAATGGAATCATGGATAACCCAATTAGCTTTCATAAAACTGAAAAGCCTTGTTGCTATGGGTTTGTTTTATTACAAAGCACAGCATAAATATAATTGGAAACATCAGTTACACAAACTCCCCGGGCTTCATCCACAAAGGGCATTAATTGGAAGTCCAAAAAAGTAACAATTATAAGTATAGAGCAATAAAATATTACTTGTTCCAAGATAAGTTTATACTTGGTTAGTATTAAATAATTGGGGATCTAGTATCTTAAATGAAGATCTCTAAGAGATATACTATTATAAGAAACATTTGGTTAGCAATTTTGGTACATAAGAAGGGCATCATCTCTTTTATTTATTCCACCCCATAATTAGGTTAGCCAAAAGAACAAAAACCATGAAAAGAAATAAGAGAAAACCTGGTTAGACATTTTACAACAAAATAACACCACTGATCATTAAGATGTTAACTTCTAGGGTGTGTAATATTGGTCATATAGATTATCAAAGTTCATAAAAGATTCAATACAAGCCATGTTCGACATGAACTAGACTTAGATATCGATTTCAAACATAAGTCCTTTCAAGGAAAGACAGCATGCAAGTACATGAAACTTTATTATAAGCACTACAATGAAAAAATAAATAGGTATCGCATTAGCAATTATGCATTTTGGAAGTACTAGGTTTTACATCTAAAATCAAAGTGTAGCAACTTTTTTGAAAAGAGGAAGTATATCAACATCGATTAAATAGATGCCAAGTCATTAGAATTAGAATCTGGATGTCAAAGCGTCACCATTGTGATTCTTAGAATTCAAGCAAAACCCTCAAATTACAACAGCTCGAGTTCAACAACAAATGCTATCTGAATTCAAGCAAATTAAAAGATCCAGACAGGTTTGAATCTAGTTCAATCCTTTAATCAATAAGGTCAATTTGACAACACAAGTCAAACTTGGACTTCCAGACAAAGGATCTCCAAAGTTAAGTTAATATGCGGTGAATATATCATACAACATGAACAACCTAACATTTTTTAATTGAAAAACCATTCAATTCCTCGAATAGCCAACGATAATGGCTGATCTATTGAATTTCCTTTTTCATCATAGAAAGAAATAAGAAAGGAAAAAAACGATTTAAGGAAGTAATTAGAATCCTAATAATTTACTTAATTAGTCAGACCATACATTGTAAAACCCTAAACAAAATCCATCAGATCTAATAAGCCAACCTTCGTTCTGATCGCTCTCAGTGAACTCTTTCTCCAGAGCACGATCGATCATGCCGGCAAAGCTCCTGTCTCTATCCGTAGTAGAAGAATCATTACTGGAAATCACAGTGGTGTTATCAACAAAACCCACGGTGGTGTCTTCAAGCTGCTTCAGCTGATCTGTGGCGGCGAGGGCAGCAGCGGGGAGAGAAAGATAGAATGAAACTAGAGACAGAAAGTAGAAGAGAGAGAGACGGCGGAGGTGGGAGGAGGAGGATGGTATCCCCCTATTCATGGCACGGACGGCGACGGAGGGATCCGCGGGCCGGCGCACGGGTGAGTGAGTAGCGTCTGTGAATTTGTGTCGGTTTTGTTTCAGTGACGTGATAATGGAAGAAGAGGAGAGTCGAGTGGGGCCCGTATAAGAGTTGGAGGATCACACCTTACCCTATGTTTTTATATATTATTTATATCTATGAAAATAAATTATATTAATTTGTAAAATATTTTATTTTCCATAAATAAATAAAAAAAACTCATTTCGATGGTAAAGATATTTTGGTCTCAAATGTTACTTGTTAATGGATTATATTACAGTAATTTAATTAAAATGAATTAAATAATTAATTACTATCATTATTAAAATATAAATATGATTAATAAAAAAAATTATTTGAGTTTATAGTAATAATAAAGTATTTTTGACATTTATGTAATGTAATCAAAAGATTTGGATGTAACGGAGTCTTTAAAAAGATTGGAACGTCTTTGACAGCTGAACTTAATTTCTGGGTTGCTACACACGACATGCTAACTATGTCATAATGAATTTTAAAATGCTAAAAGGGTTCGATTTTTGAACGTATACTTATGCATAGTCTGCAAATTCTGATGAGGATATCCAGATTTTGGGGATCTTCTTTTAAGAACGAATGAAATTGTGATAACCTTAAGAATTTGTGCATTATGTGTTATTTTCATGTGATATTTTTCATCAAGATTAGGATTTAGAATATTGATTAATATATACAATGTTTGTTTGATATGTACTCGGTTCACAATATCAACATTTTTTTACGTGTTTGTGAAACAAAAAATACACGTAAATAAGTTTCACATTATGAACCGAATACATATGAAACAAACATATCGTGAAACAATATATGTTAATCAATACATTAAATATTATATTTAGACGGAAAAAATAATGCGAACAAAATCTTAAGGTAGAAGTTCCCACGAATATCACAAAACTTTGAGTTCTCAAATGATTAAGCCCTTCAAATTTTATCCAAACAAAACTATTTAGAAAACTTTTTTATTTTTAACTTTATCTTGTTAAAATATCGTTTTTTGTGTAAAACAAAACTCTCTTTCATAATTACTTACACACGAAAAATCGCTATCTTATCTTAATTTTGATCTTCAAATAAAAATCACAACACTTTTTCAGAGCATTACTCAAGAAACTTTTATCGACTGACACTTCATAAAATAACTTCCAATTCTTAAATATGATCGAGGTTTTGAGTCTTTCTTTTGGTATACTCAATATACAGCGAGAATTGCAATAAGATTTCCTTACAAAATTTATCGAAAATATTAGTCCAACGTGTTTAAGGTTTTGGGGTTTATGGTTCAGGGTTTAGGGTTTATGGTCTGAATTTTCTCCATTATAGCCAACTCCCTTGTCTCTTTCCCTATCGAAAAACTAGTCTGACTCTCCCTTTCTAGAAATACTAAATCAAGTTACATTTGTTATGATCAAAATTCTACATGATTATGAAGTGTGCGTTTTTTATTCTGTAAATAGTTACATTTGTTATGATCAAAATTACGGGACTTTCCAAGTAAAATTTCATGCAATAGCATATTGCAGGTCAAAGAGTTGATCTTTGTAGGTCAACTGTACACTATTTGTATGTATACCTTTTGACCTATTGAATCAGATAGAAAAATGTAAAACAAAAATACTGCTTCTGTTTGCTATACTAATTCCCTTATCAGTAGCAGAATCCAACTATGAAGCAGATAAAGTGTCACTAACATATATAGTACACATATTAAGATAGGTTATTCTTTATTAGTCCTAAAATCGTACTAACATTTGTATCGCTTGTATTGCACGTTATTCCGAATCAATATATCCAAAGTAGGTGCAACATTGATTGGCAAGATGTTTAAGTATGCCGTGATTTTATTAGCAAATATTAGTTGTTCCTCACTACAGTACCAAATATAGCAACTTTTAGATCTTTTTTTAAAAAAATTGGTGATATAAGGACAAGTGAATAACGTTTTATCCTGATCCTCTAGTATNGGGGGGGGGGGGGTCTTTGTTGTACCCTGAATATCCGTCAAGAAAACAGTAGAATTTATAATGTGCAAGTCATTTTCATACTTGATCAACAAGAAATGATGGGACGCATCCTTGCATGTGGCATCATTTAATTCGTCATAATCAATCAGTATATACTGACAATGATCATTCGGGTTGCTATTAGTTATTGCCATCATTTTGCACCATGTGATGATCGTGGAACATTACTACGCTTACCTAACTGCCATCAAAGATCAAGGTAAATCGTTCTTACTTATGGAAGTTTCATTATCTTTTGTTTTGTATTGCTTCGAATACTTTATCAAAGAAATTGTTAGTATTATTTAGAATTGTTAAATTATCCAAAAACAGTCTCAGGCGTATTCTCTTAACGAAACATATATAGATATATTATGATCTGATTATATGTTGTTGGTACCAGAAAACAATGAATAAATAAATTACCAGCTACAATTGACAATTATTTTTGACCAAGTCTTTTGTCCTCATTAAATTAAAAGCTTATACGGATATAACTTAAATGTATATAAAAATTATTAGGTAATATTTCAATCTCATAAATTCCGAATTTAAATTGGTTCAAAAATTATTTTATTAACAAGGGATGCGCATAATATTGAAATTATTATCCAATTATATTAAAACTTAGTCAAAGATGATATATCTATATCTATACTATCTTATTAAGCAAATTTAGCAAAAGTCTTAAAGTCTTAAAATACTAAATGACTAAGATACCCTTACTCCCTTTTTCACCTCATCCTCTCCTCACAATCACATACTCTCAACCTCTCACATTTTTTTTTAAATTGTAATTTTAAATTTACACTTTATATCCCTATAATTAGTTAATTAATTTACTTTACGTCCTTTACTTTTAAATGTTTCATTTTAAACCTTTATCAAATTAACATACATAATCGTATATCAATTAAAACATATTTAAAAAWAWAHATTTTTATTTTAACAAGTTACACCATTATAATCGTCTTGTTAATACCTTCGAAATGAGTCCAATATTGAATAGTTTTTGACTTAATTATATTATTATATATTATATATACTATGAAAAAATATTGTTAATATTTACGATTTATACTTTTATAGTTAATTATTTAATTTTTGATACATCATTTATTTTTACACCATTATCACATTAAAATACATTAGCTAAAACACGTTAAAATACATTATACTTAATTTATATATTTTTAAAATTTATTTTTACACTTTTATCACATTAACATACCTTAATCTGAGTTTTTGGACAAGAAAGAGGATAAGCAGTTGAAATTTCATTTTAAAACCCATCGTTTTTTGTCTTTTCATGGCTTATGATTTGTGAAATTTGTAGTTTTCTTTATTGGTTTTGAGTGTTTATCTTAAAACTCAATTTTTTGGTTCTTTGCTCTTGGTGTAAATCGAACATATTTTGTGGAGTCGTTTAAATATGTTGGATTTTAAATATATTGGATTTTAAACTGTCATACAATTTTTTTCATGGATAGTCTGTAATTGGAACCATAACTCTTATTTATTCAAATTGTATTAATATGTAAAGACCAAGTGTAACATATATCATCGTTAAATCTTATCTTATAAAACCAGTGGAACTTCAAAATCGTTAAAATTCATGGCTCCCGCCGCATTGTGCGGGTACACAACTAGTACGCAACTATGTACATTTGTACAACCAATGCAACCCAATTAATTGAGATATTTATAGAAATTATGAAAGTTCATTTATTATGATTCGAATATTTATGAAATATTAATAGGGTTCATTAATTATGATCAACATTTTATATTAGGAAACAATCAAAACTTCTATGAAWTCACATATTCATCAAATGAAATGGACGGTTGAGATTGAGTTGTATTGATTGTACAAATGTAAAGGGTTGTATAATAACCCACCTATATATATAATCCAAAACGCATAAATATATAACTGATACATTTGCATTTTAAACATGAAATTAGACGGAAATTTGTTAATTGAAGACTTCAAATCAAGTAAAATTCGTATAAACATCAACTAATGTTTCCTTGGACAATAAACAGATACATTTTTTTGAAAACATAACCACGTTTTACGTTGAAAGTGTTTTTAACTAAAAAGGATGTAAAAATAAACAAGTAGGGTTGTTGTTTTGGTAACGAAGCGTGACTCTATGACAAATTTACACAGTTTCAAAAGGATTTCAAGAATTTAATTATATTTAGTTATTTACCGACCGTTTAGATATTAACTTAATTGATTGAATTGAAGTCATTTGGTATGTATAAGTTATCCGACTGAGATTAGTCGGCTTACATAACGAGTTAGATATTTAAGTTAACAACAAAAAAGAAAAAAAATAAACCATCCTTTCTGTTTGGCCCAAAAGAAGTAGCCTACATTGTTTGCTTTTTTATTTGATTTCTTTTGACCCAACAAATTCGTCACCAGATATATGTAAACTGATCAGATTTCGATGATTTTAGTGAAATCATCGATTTGTTTTTTAAGCCTTAACAATCTATATAAGTGTAATTGATGTGCAAAAAACAGTAAGAAAAACTGTCTAAAATAATTTATGAATGTTTGGTAATCTGACCCCTGGACTCCTCCAATGGTTTACATAACGTCATTTTAAAATCTTCATTCGTATTTTGAGCAATATATACCGGTCGAAATTAAATGTAAAATAAAAATCAAGTATACTAAGTTTCATTTTTTTTATTAACATGGATATCCAACCCGCTATGCAAGCTGACTAATCACAGGGCGACCACCTGTTTTGCCGATAGCCCGGAGTCGTCGCATTTGAACCTCCGTGGCCATAAGGGGTTTTTATTTTTCCTTGAATTTGAACCTGAGACCTTCTATTACTCTTGACATTTGGAGTCAAGCTCAAACTAATAAGTATCACCCTTGTGATTTACCAAAAGTAAAAACCGACATGAAAATGAAAATGCTGAAATTTTAGCATCATGTTAATTTTCAATTCTAGTCACAACTAAAAGTTACATGAAAACATATATACATGTAATGATTTAACACAAAACTCTAAATATCATGGAAAATGGTCTTTGATGAGCTTTTCTAATGATATATTTGGTGTATATTAATTGTACCGTTAATATAATGTATTTGTTAATTTAAATAGCATTGCATCAAACATGATGATCGAGAAACTATAACATATATACATATACATTATATATGGGTGAGTTCAAATGAAGATTGATATTCAGTTGTGAACCAGGAGACAAAAGAGAGGGCGGCACATTTCTCACACGTTCAGAGGTTATTCATCGTGAATAATGTATTATTCATGACGAACATCATGAATGTTGTATTATTCATCATGAACGTTATATCATTGACGATGAATAGTTTATAAACGTTCACCTTCATTATTTATATTGAATGACCTTCAATATTCATACTGAATGTGGACATCAGGAACCCCCTCCTTTCTTCTCCGTTTCACAGCCAGAAATTGATTTGCAATTGAACTTCTCTCTCTCTTTATATGTGTCTTCTTTTGAAAACTTTTTATTTTATGAAATTTATAAGATTCAATTTAAATCATTAAAAAAAATTAAAAATAAAATATATTATGAATTAAAAATATCTATTTCCTCTCATCTCTCCTATATTTTCTTTCAACCATCCTCTATTCTCTCTCTTATTTTTGTTCTCTCCATAACATTTATGTAGTTTAAAAAAGAATTGATCCGATGAATCTTGATGCATCTCATTAGTGTTGACATTTAATTAACATTAATTCAATGGTGGATATCACTTCTTATGCTTCTCATTTCTCAAAGGAACCTAACCATATATATATATATATAGAGAGAGAGAGAGAGAGAGAGAAACGAAGGATCGTGTGAGAATGAGTTAAGAAGGGATCTGACCCTCCATCACTTTTAATCTCACCCCCACCACATGAATTGCGCTTATCATAAGAATTGATGAGATGCATCTTAATGATTTGCATTGATCTTTAATTAGAATTGATATAAAGATGAAGATCACTTCTTATCATTTTCAACATAACTTCCATTCTCACAGGAACCCAACACACAATGTATATGATAAATGATCATGTGAGAAGAGAAGTTACGATGAGAAACGTAAGAAGAGATCTTTGAACCCTTGATCACTTTTAATCTCATACACGCCCTTGAATTGTGCTTCATAAGAAAATTGATCCGATGCATCTTGGTGCACCTCATCAATGTTAATATTCAATCAAAATTAATCCAAGGGTAGAGATCTCTTAATACTTCTCACCAGAATCCAAGGGTCAGGGAAAACCATACAAAATGAAAAACAAAGAAACACCCTCATAACCATTAATCTGGATGGAAAACACATGTACATGCAAGTAATTTGTAAGCAATTTATATGATATATGCATAGAAAGCACGAGTACATAAAAACCAACAAACATCTTCAATTATTTATACATACATGTGCAAACCGTCCAGATGAATAATTACCAAGACCCACGTTAACTTCCTTCTTTTGAACTTCAAGTCCAGAACGGTTGCATGCAGATAGCAAAGAAGAACAATTGTGGTGCTAGATACGAAGTCACAGAGGTGGTGTTGAACAAGTTTATAAGTCATCGTCTTCGTGGCTTAGAGGCTATGGTGATGCAGGTTTGGTCGTTTCATGGTGACGTAAATCAACTGTGTTTTGCACTTGTTCGTGTCGCAGCAGCTTAATTGGTTAAATCAAAGAATCCCATGGTGTAAACCTATACAAAGATAGCTATATGATAATAATCTATTGTTGCCTGTATCCATATGTACATCAGCAACTTCACATTCTATTCAGCCATGGATGGACCACAAAATGCTTCCGGTTCAAATGATCTTGCCGACTCATCGTTGTACACGCCTGCCACTGCTCTGCCGCCCGTTTCAGCACCGGATGTGATGATGTTGGCCTCCTTTTGGCTGCCTTCCGTGTTAATAAGAAGCACGATGAACATGAACAGAGATAGCGCAAGAGTTACCAACGTGTTCTTTAGTCTGTTGAGCACTGGCTTCACCTGGACCACAAAACACAAGTCAACCTCCACACAAGAGTTTTCAACTTCGAATTTCTGATGGTTGAAGGAAGACTCATGTGGGGTCCGCATGGATCGACCCATGAAAACTAGAACTTATATGATAACTTAAACGATTTCCATAGAAGGGTTTGATTATCGGTCAAATATCAATACCAAAAATATAAAAAAGAATGAATCGCTTACAGTAAATGATCCTAGAAGCCGATCCCGAGCAAGCACTTCAGCAGTCTTCACCCAAATCTGTTATCATACATAACTTGCAAAATTTTGTAGATAAGCATAGCAAAAGATCCGGCGAAACCACATCAAATTGAGATGCAAAAGCTTCTTTCAGATTTCCGTAACAACAAAAAGATAGCACATGAAATTACACGAGACACCCAAAATTTATTTACAAGAAATTCCGCTTAACAGTTTCCCGTTACAAGTTCCTTTTGCATAGAAAATGTGTTTTCATGGCTCAAATCTGACCTCTGTAATGATACGAGTTTTCGTAAGTTGGCCCTATTGAAATGGATGCATGCGAACACGATTTGTAAAGAAATTACCTGTCCATCGTACCATCCGGTCTCTTCATCTGTACATTCACAAAGAAAAACATAAATTTGAACTCACAGCACTAACAACCAGATGAAGAAAGGGAAGAGAACTTATTAATTCCATAGCTATTTCATCCTAATTCCTGTATGCTGGATGTCTAGCAGTTGTACCATTCATATATATACACGTTGAGTTCAGGGTGTGGCTCCATAAGCGTAGATTCCGACACCAACCATATACATCATTTTCGTTCAAGAAAATGATATACATGACGTATATTTGTATCTTCTCATGATGCTGTGGTTTCATTTATATTTTGCTTTCTGATTTTAATCAAGATACTACACAAATTTACACACTAAATGCACTTCAAACTACAGGATGCTTTTAAAGGGATATTGAACATTTTTTCCGACAATATACGTTCTTTCTCCTAACTTTTTAACCCCAAATCTGCTAAGTATCATATTGTGCAAATGCTTATACAGGTTAGCATTAAATGGAATGAGTTAGGTTTGAAACAGGAAACAGTGCTACGCTTCTATTTCATCTTCTAAATCGGGTCACTGTATTTGCTACATCATCTTCTAGTTCAGAAGGAAAGTAGATATCCCAAGGTTTAAACTTTGATGATTCATATAGTGGAGTACCATCTTCATGAAAACTACAATGATCTTCTTATAATCGTAAATCATACCATTTACACCCTTAAAACCAATCAAATCAACATTATGATATCATAAAGGTTAAATGCCCATTTAATCACAGATGCTCAACACCATACTTCATTATCTACTCTTCAGATTAGAAGGCCCCAAACTTTTATGGTTCGAAATTTGGACTTTTGGGTGATTCTGTGATGATCATAAGGATTGCATATATGCTTCAGTTTCATATGGAATCCGAAATTCAGAATCATCCAAATTACTGGAAAAATAATGGGATGAAAGTAAGTATACATACATTCAACAGTGGCACTGAGCAATCTGTTGCCGACGTACGCCCAACCCAAATACATCCTCACAACAGCAAGGGTAACCGCAAAGATCCCACTGCATACGGCTCCCAGGATCCGTTGAATAGGTTCCCACCCGACACCGACCGATCCGTACCACGAAACGGGAAGGCCCACGAACAGAGCGAATCCAACACCGGTGGCGAGCAACCGTGAGCAGTATTCGACAAAGTCACCGGACGCCCAGGAGAAAGGGGAGGAGGTGGAGAGAGATTGGTACTCGTTGATGGGTTGTTGCTCTGGTGGGACCGGGCAGTCTGTTTCCGGTGGGTTTCGGCTACTGTAGGAGAAGGAGAAGCGGGTTTGACGGTGGTGGTGGGATTTAGAAGGTTTGACTGTGTGTGGAAATAGGGAGGAGGTGAGAGGGGAAAGGAGGAGGGGCGGCGACGATGGCGGTGGTGACGGTGGTTTTAGAGATAGGAGAAGAGCCATTGCCCTGAGATTTTTGTTGAAATTACAAGCATGCCCGTGAGGTAAGCAAGTGAAATTTATAAATGAAACCAAATAAGTTTTTGGTTAACCGAAAACCGAACCGAATAAGATCCTTTCTTCGATTAACGAAACCGTTTAACCCGAAAACCGAATAGTCCAAAGCCGTTTAATTCAAATCGAATTTCAGTTCAAGTCGGTTATTCGATTTCAGTTATTTTCAACACTGAAAAATGTCAGATGAGAATCAATTTCAACATATTGTTTTACGCTTTGTCTTTTAAGGTAGGCAACTATCTAAGGTAATGTATAATCTATAAATATTTGTTTTTCAATTAGCAGCAATTTTGCCAAACAATGCTCAAGTATTCACTTTTAAGAGTAAATATTTATTTTCTAATTTTGCTATTAATTATGAGATGAAAAGAATTTCATTCTCCATAACTAAAGAACCGTTTACCAAACACTTACCTGGTAAATGTTTATCGTAAAATTTAACATTATTATTTACTTACCGGATAAGATTTTAGTCCACCAAAACAGGATCGTATGCGATAATTTACCCGGTAAGTGTTTACCGTGTTAAGAGTTATCGCCCTTACTTACCGGGTAAGATTTTTGGTCATTTTCTCGTTCTTATCGGATAAGATTCTTGATAAGTGTTTACTCAGATAAACATTTGGTAAACGTTCTTTAGGCTACAATTATCTTTTTATTAATCAAAAAACGTAATAATTATAGATTTTAAAAATTATAAGTTATTTATTTTGAGGCAGTAAAAATAGCATTTTAACCATAATTGATTATTGATGTCTTAAATGGAGTGAAAACATCAATAAAATAGAAAACAAAAAATAAGAAATTAGTGAAGGAATATAATTAACCGTTGATACGAAATTGCAAATTAATTAATTATCCCAAAAATATCGAAGATTTTCATAATCCTATGAAAAGGAAACAGCTAACAATTATCTCCTTCAATTCTACTCTTAATTCAACTCAACTTCTGCTTTCATTCCAAGTCTCCAAAACTCTCTCTTCATCTTCTTCTTTCTCCTTTCCTTCTCTTCCAAGATGCAACCTTCTTGTTCCAGTTCTCATCACAAGCCAAAGAAAAGCAGCCGTCATCGGCCATCAATGGCGGCCAAACAGAAAAAATCCAAAGAAAAGAGGTGCAGGAGGAACATTGCCACATTCTTGGACTTGATGGGGTTTCAAGACGATCATCCTACTGTTACAACCGAACTACTGCTCCAAAAACTGCGTCAGATGAAAGGAAAACAATCAACGGTAATATCAGGTTCAAGCATCAGAAGGATTACTTTCAAGTTCGACGGAGAAGTATCTGTTATCCAACAAGATTCAACGACGGTTCTTGAATCCCCACATTTCAATGAAGTTGCCAGCGGTAGTAACGATGGTAAGATGGAAGTGATCATGATAACAGAAACAGACGATTCAAGGAAGTTTCTGCCAGAACTAGGAAACCCTAGTTTTGATGATCAGATGGCGATGAATGAAGACGAGGGTGATCGCAATGTCATCGAGAATCAGGGAAGCAATGGTGGCGCCGGAGAGTTGTTAAGGGATTTTATAAGAAACATCGGTGGTTCATGGGAGAGTAGTGTGTTGGTGTTAGAGAAGCGGCTGACAAAATCAGATGTTAACTTCAAAGAAGGCCGTCTGCTGATGCCAATAATACCAGATAAATATCAAGACTTCTTGACGGCACCAGAGAAAGAGAGACTTATTGGGCAAGAAGACATGAAGGTGTGGGTGTTTGACCCTGAGCTTCGAAAGTCAACACTGAATCTTAGACAATGGAAGATGAAGCAACAATATCTTGTGCTGAAAACCCAATGGAACCAAGTGGTGGCAGCAAATAAATTGAAGGAAAACATGGTGTTGCAGGTGTGGTCGTTTAGGGTTGATGAGCAATTGTGTTTTGCACTTCTTCGTGCCGATCATCGATGATGATGGCATAGATATGTATAAGGATTGGGGCGCTTCAATCCCTAGGTCTGAAATCTTTAACTGAATCGTGTACGTAACTGTTCATTTATTTAAGGTTGGATCCTTGAGCCTCTTGTGCGCATTTTGGTTCAATTATGAGACTACTTTATGCTTTTTCTGCTCTTGGTTTGAAGTTTTAGATTGTTTTATGAATGAAAAAGATGATTAAGAAATAATAGTCATAAATGTGTAATGGGTTGGTCACAAGCTACCCAAGAGTTATCAATGTGAACAAATTATTTACACATAAGAATAAAGCAAATGTTACATATAGATTACTCTACTTTATATAGACTTACTGTATTTGTTTGATTTGATTTCGTCTGCTTAATTTTAGCATTACGTCAAAAGTTTGGTTTTACTAAAGTAATGTATTAATTTCCGAACTTTAATCACATAAACTTATTTTGAATACGAATCCAATTATTTTTGGTAGAATTACATGACCAAATGCTTATTTGGTAAGCGCTTACCAAGTTATATTACTTTATCAGATGAATATGATAAGGACCAAAAATCTTACCCGGTAAAAACGAGGCAAGGACTGAGAGTCTTACCCGGTAAGTGTAAGAACGAGGCAATGACTGAGAATCTTATCCGGTAAGTGAGGGCAATGAATCTTACCACGGTCAACTCTTACCGGGTAAATTGTTGCATAGAAAGTCGTTTTTGTTGACTAAAATCTTACCCAGTAAATAAATAATAATATTGAATTTTACTAATAAGTGCTTACCAGGTAAGTATCTAGTAAACGGACCCTAAGTGTAGTTTGCTTTAGTGTAGGTTTATGAAACTGTTCTATGAACATTAAGCTTGAAAGAAATGATATGAGAATTATGCATATTTGCATATATAGTTGATGAAGTAAAAAAATGCAGCATTTACCTTCAACTGCATGCATTCAGCATATGTTTTGTAAAGAAGTGATGAATGCAATAAATGGTGATTAATGTTTGTAAAGGGATTAATCAATGGAAACCATTTTAACTATTTGCATATACAGTTGATGAATGCAAAATAGCTATTTCATAATAAAATCATATCATTGTATGTGTGTAATTATTGTTATACTAGTTGTGTACTCGCACAATGTAGCGGGATGTCAAATTTTCTAATAAACCTACAACTAAAAATTAGTGCAATTATTCTTAAAAAATATAAAATTTATATTTAAACATTCGATCTTCCAAGGGAGCCCTTAGAAATATTTAAATCTCGATTCCTATTAGTTGAGTACCCATCCGATGTAACGGATGTAATCAAGTGCAATGTAACAAATAAGGAATTGAGCTGAACTTTATTGTACATAAGCATGAAAATCAATTATGTTGTCCAAATAATTATAATGAAGGAAGAAACAGAATTCTAGTGAATACATTTGATGACAACGACCTACTCTTACTCGGTAAGTACGTGATAGTGACGAATCTTAGACGGTAAGCATTTGCAAGATTAAAATGTTACATACGATGACACTTTAATTGACTAAAACCTTACCCTGTAACTCAAATGAAAAATCGATAACATTATACCAGTTTGTGTCCATGCACAAATTTTTTTAATACCATAAATGGTTCCAACATGATCTATAAGGGGAGATGATAACGATAAGAGGCAAAACGAATGAGTAAATTGAAGATGCATTTCACTCTTTTAGAATGCCCAACTAACTAATTAACATATTCCATAATATATATATATATATATATATATATATTAAATATGATCTGTTAATTAACATATTAGTGAATTATTTTATATGTATTATGAAATATTAAATACTATTAATTCTAAAACATGTATTTTTTGATCATTTTATAATTTTTAACTAGCTTATCAGCTAGTTTTCGCCAAACATATTTAATTTATCAAGTAGCTTATAACAATCATAAGCTAGATTATCAACCAGTTTGCCAAACAATGCTTAAGTATTTACTTTCAAAAGTAAATATATATTTTCTAATTCTACTCTTAATTATGAGATGAAAATAATTTCATTCTCTTTAACTAAGGGGCTGTTTACCAATCACTTACCCGGTAAGTGCTTATCATAAAACTTAACATTATTATTAATTACTTACCGGATAAAATTTTAGTCCATCAAAACAGTATCGTATGCGATAGTTTGCCTGGTAAGTGCTTACCGTGGTAATAGTCACTACAACAAAATTGGGTTTATAGAACACCATCAATCTCTAAGCGTCCCAATAGACCGTTTTATAGGACTTAATTTATAGGACCAAAATATAAAGTATCATATCTAAATGTGTTGTAATAAGTTTATATGACGTTTTTAGGAATCTTAAAAAGTTTTTTTAGGACATTTTTAATTCAAAGTGTCGCATTAACAATTTTATAGGACACTATTGAGAAAGTGTCATATAAACTCAATTTTTTATAGGACATTTGTTTTTATTGGATAAATTTTCAAAAAGTATCTTATAAAGTTGCTAATGAGACATTTTATATTAAAAATGTCTTAAAAAACTTATTACGACATCAAAAAAACATCATATAAACTTATTACAACGCCTTTAAAAAGGACGCTTTATTTTTTTGGTCCTATAAACTTAGTCTTATAAGAATATCTATTAGGACGCTTAGTAATTGTGAGTGTCCTATAAATCTGATTTTCTTGTAGTGAGTTGTCGTCCTCACTTACCGGGTAAGACTTTTGGTCCTTGTCTAGCTCTTATCGGGTAAGATTCGGTGAGGTAACACGACTTTGGTAAGTGCTTACCCAGATAAATGTTTGGTAAACGGCCCCCAAGACTACAACTATCTTTTTATTAATTAAAAAAATGTAATAATTACAAATTTTAAAAATTATAAGTTATTTATTTTAAGGCAGTAAAAATAGCATTTTAACCATTACTGATTACTAGAAGGATATTCCCGCAATGCAACAAGATACATCTCCATTTTAATGTTTACTTTTTATTATTTGTCTCTATCGATATAATACGATTTTATGTGGTTTTGAGAAAGCA